CTAAATCATATTACATACTTCAGTATACCAAACCATTCCGAGATCTTCTGCCAGAGAATTAACAAGATAAATTAAGGATTTTGTATATTTGTAACTTCAAAAAAGTTATAAACATTCAAAACAAGAAAGAGAACTAGGGTGATACTCTGTTATGCTTTGTGTGTGAGCGTGTTTCAGGCACTTTTTGAAGCAAAAAGACACACAGGCCCTGCAACAATAACCACTTCCTTTCTCCCAGATATAATCAAGGATTTTCAAGGTCAGGTACTAAAACAAGCTATTTAACAATCTAAGGCTGTTTTCATCAGCAACCCTTAAAAGTCATATCAATCAAATACCACTTGTACAGCAGTCTGCCTCACTACACATGCCATATTCTGTGACCTCAATCCCAGATCCTTCTTTAAAAAGAGAGTGACAAATTACTGTACACTGACATTAATATTTACAGCTTTTTTTGGTAGAGTGGCAAGAGCAATAATTATATGTTCCTCCATTATTGGTCATTTTCAGCTTTAATTCTATTCTCATTATTTAAAAAAATCTACTGAATTTCATACGGTGATGCCAGTGGGCAATTCTCCTTATGAATTTAGAGTACCATGTTTCAAATACACATTTAACATTTGAGCTGAAAATTCTATTTGATTAACTGTGCACAAATATATCACATGAAAAGTCATTTAGTTTCACGTCTGTTATGATATATATCAAGGGCCAACACAGGGTACCTCAAGAAAATGAAAGAAATACTGACAGTGATACAAAACATTTTTCCAGTGAATTGCCAACGCAAGCCACAAAAATAAAAAGGAATAGGTGTGGAAGAGACTCTGCTAGTCCAAATTCCCAGCCGGTCTGGATGGTTTCTACAGCACATGTCAGTTTGCCACTCTGGGGGAAAAAACATTTTCAATTTCAAAATATCCCATTAAAAACAGCACATGCAATGCTTGAAAGACAAAGTCTTCTGAAATGCAGCTTTGATAACAGCTGTTAAATGTGCTGCTAAACAAAAACATAAATTTTAAAAACAGATAAGAGTGAAATAATTCTTAAAAATTTTACAGTTTCATTTGCCATGGCTTCACACACACCTTGGTTTTCTGCCACTTGTATCCCCCTTTATCTGACAAGCACCAAATGGTTACTATTTTAATTAGAGTTTAAAGATGATATACTATTTGTTTAATTTTTCATTTGTAGCCCAGCATCATCCATTAAAATCAGCCAGGCAAAGTTTTACGAATAAGCAACTATTTTATTTCAATTGTGGATTCTGCACAATCTCAACTTAGTTACTGTAGGTTCTGAAACAATGTTTAGTTTAATTTTAAGCAGAGACTGTTTAAAAGAAAAACAAATACGATGTAGGGTTTAGAGGAGACGCTCAGCAGGTTCTACTGGTGTGCTGGTTCTGAAACAAATAAACTGTAAAAAATAATTTGAGGCCTAATCTGATCAGTCATATTTCTTCACTAATACTTCAAGATTTCAGACTGGAACATCTCACTGTTCTCAAACATAAGTTTATGGTGACTGCATGATAGCATATTACTTCTATGGCATGCTGGTGTAAGGTACCTAAATTTTCTCAGTGTAAAATGAGCCAGATCAGGACCTAGCTCTCAGACTTTCACAACATGCATTTCACCTACGCTCAATTTTCTTAAAAAGCTGCTAGTCAACTCTGTTATTACAGAGGCATACAGCAATTTAGCTGTAATTAGTACAAAAACCTCTAAATCCAGGCTGCTTACACAGCCACCCCCTAGTTTTACCCAGTTGATTAACTCCCAACCAGTTTGTCACTAAGCTCTTCATTTAATATAACTATTTGCAAAACTCCAAGATAAATGCCTTGCATGGCAGAAATAGCAGCATTGATTAACTAAATCAAAGGATGACACAACCAAAATGTTACAGGAGTGCTGAACCGCTTTGAAGTGTTGGAACTGGTGAACACTCAATTGCTCAAGCCTCCAAGGATCAAAGTATATACAGTGATATATTGACTTAGCACTAGACTTCTACACACTGTTCTGTGTTTCAGTTGTAAACCCTTGAAGATAGGGATGGGCTTTTCTCGTTTTGGGTACTGGTAAAACTGTGTGCATCTACAGTGCTTTACAGAACTGCAACACTAGTGGCAGCTTAAAGTGCCTAGTCCATCACAAAACACATCTGACAGGGTTGAAATAAACATTCCTAGATGGCTAATAGACTTTCAGAGGTTTCTGGTATTCAAGACATTAATCTTCTTCAATACAAAAAAAAAA